AAATCCTACTTGAGCTAGACACTCCACTCAATTGGAAGAAGTATTAAAAAAGAAAACATGATCTAATTATTTGCTGTCTACAGTTTAGATAAAAAAAAGATTGCAAGTAAAAGGATGGAAAAAGATATTCAATGCAAAAAAGAATCAAGTAGAGCAAGGCACATGAAAGTTGAATCTTCTCTCTTTTTCCCTTGGTAAGTCTAGCTAAAGGACTGTGAATTTTGTTGATCTTTCCAAAGAAGCAACTTTTGGTTTTGGTTTTCTCTATTTTTTAATTCTCTATTTCGTTTATTTATTTTATTATTTTTTTTAAAGATTTTTTTTTATTGGGGAATTAGGGGGATAGGAACAGTGCTGGGGAATTGGGGGAAGGGGAACAGACAAGTTGCTGTCGTTTTTGTTCTTCAATCTAGTTGTAGAGGATGTCGCTTCACTGGCCCAAGTTGGCACCATCATCGCGCTCTTCTCTGGCGAGGCAGATCAGTCGCCGGCTTCTGGACGGCCGCTCACTGCGGCTGCTGGCTACACACGGTAGCCCATGGCAACCCACTGCCACAGGGGCTGCAGCCTACGCCGTCGCCGGCGACTCACGGCAGCCCAGCTCCAGGTTGAGCTGTTGTTCAGCATCTTAGCTGTGGAGGGCAGTGTCACTGGCCCTCATATGTGGGATCCGAACCGGGGCCCTCTGGCATCCCAAGCGAGTTCTTAACCATCGCGCCACTCGGCCGGCCCTCTATTTCGTTTATTTTGACTCTAACCTTTATTTCCTTCCTTCAGCTTGATGTGGGTTTACTTTGCTATAATTTTTGTAGTTTCTTTTAATTTTAATTTTTTTAAGAGCCGTGTTAGGTTCACAACAAAACTGAAGAGAAGGTATAGAGATTTCCCAAACACTCCTCTATCCCTAAACATGCATAGCTTCCCCCATTATCAATATCTCTCATCAAGAGTGGTACATCTGTTACAAATAATGAACCTATATTGACACATCGAAATTACCCAGTCCCAGCCTATAATTTACATTATGGTTCACTCTTAGTGTTGTACATTCTATGGGTTTGGATAAATTTTTAATTTCTTAAGGTAGACGTTTGGGTTATCAATTTGAGATCTTTCTTCTTTAATAATATGGGCATTTAAGCCTTTAAATATCCCCTAAATACCGCTTTTACTGCATTTCATAAGTTATGTCAAGTTTTGTTTTTATTCATCTCAAAGTATTTTCTAATGTCCCTTGTGACTTTTTTTGATCCATTGGTTATTCAGTAGAGTGTTGTTTAATTTCCACATATATGCAAATTTCCAATTTCATTCCACTGTGAATGGAAATGGTGAGAGTGGACAACCTTGTCTTATTCCTGACATTGGGGGAAAGTTTTCAGTCTTTCACCATTAATTATGATGTTAATTTTTTTTATTATGATGTTAATTTTTAACGCAAATATATGGTCAATTGATTTCTGACAAAAATGCAAAGGCTAGTAAATAAAGAATACTTTTTTCAACAATTATTGCTGGAACAGTTGGTAATTCATAGGCAAAAAAAAAGTGAATTTTTAACTTAAATCTCACACCTTACATAAACATCAAATAAAAGTCAAAATGGATCATAGATCTAAGTGTAAAAATATACAACTATAAAACTGTTGGAAGAAAACAAAGAAAAATATGTTTCATAATCTGGTGTTAGACAAAGTTCTTAGTCATGAAAAAAAAAACATGATCCATGAAAGAAAAACTAGACAAACTGGATTGTATGAAAATTTAAAACATTTGCTCTAAGGAAAAAAGCTGTACACTGAAAACTATAAAGTGTTGGAAAAAAATTAGACACAAATAAATGCAAAGACATCTCGTGTTCATGGATTGAAGACTTGATATCGTTAAGATGTTAATACTACCCAAAGTGATTTACAGATTAAAATCTCAATGATGTTCTTTGCAGAAATAGAAAAATCCATGCTAAAATTCATACGATATCTCAAGGGACCCCAAATAGTGAAAACAATCTTGAAAAAGAAGAACCAAGTTGGAGGTCTTACACTTCCTGATTTCAAAAATTACTACAAATCCACAGCAATTAAAACAGTGTGGTACTGGCATAAAGATAGACATATGTATCAATGGAATAGAATAGAGAACTTAGAAACAGATCTCGCATTAATGGTCAAATGATTCTCAGAAAGTGTGCTAAGATCATTCAATGGGGAAGGACAGTCCTTTTAACAAGTAGTATTAAAAAAACTATATTAACACGCAAAAAAATGAAGTTGGATCCTTACCTTATACCATATACAAAAATTAATTCAAAATGGACCAAAGACCTAAATGTAAGAGCTAAAACTCTCAGAAGGTAATATAGGTGAAAAGTTTTATGACATTAGATTTGGCAATGATTTATTGTATACGACAGCAAAAGCACAGGTAACAAAAGAAAAAATCGACAAATTGGCTTCATAAAAAAAAAAAAAAACTTTTGTGCATCAAAGGCCACTATCAACAGAATAGAAAGCAACCCATCGAATGGGAGAAAATATTTGCACATCGTATATTTGATGAGGGATCAATATCCAGAATATATAAAGAACTCCTCCAACTCAACAACAAATAAAAAACAACCCATTTAAAAAATGGGCAAAAGACTTAAATAGATATTGCTCCAAAGATATACAAATGGCCAAAAAGTATATGAAAAGCATCACTAGTCATTAGGGAAATGCAAATTAAAACCACAGTGAGATACCACTTCATACCCATTAGTATGGCTATTATGAAAAAAAAACAACTAATAAAAGAAAATAAATGTTGGCAAGGGTATGGAGAAATTGGAATCAATATGTGGTGATGGAATATGAATGGACTCTGGGTGGTGAATACACAATGTGATATAGATGATGTATTACAGAATTGTACACCTGAAACCTATGTAACTTGACTAACAATTGTCACACCAATAAACTTTAATTAATAAAAAGAAAAAAGAAATTGGAATCCTTGTACATTGCTGGTGGGAATGTAAAATGGTATTAGCTTCTATGGAAACAAGCATGGTGGTTCCTCAAAAGATTAAACATAGTATTACCATAGGACGTGGCAATTCCACTTCTGGGTATACACTCTAAAGAACTGAAAGCCCGGACTTGAACAGATACTTGTACATCCAGGTTTATAGCAGCATTATTCTCAATAGCCAAAAGGTAGAAGCAACACAGGTGTCCACTGAAAGATGAACGTTTAAACAAAATGTGGCAGATACATATAAGAGAATATTATTCAGCCTTAAAAAGGAAATTCTGACACATGCTACAACACAGATGACCTTGAAGACATTATGCCAAGCGAAATAAGCCAGACACAAAAGGACAAATACTGTATGATTCCAGTTATACGAGGAACCTAGAAGAGTCACATTCAGAGAGGCAGAAAGTAGAATGGTGGTTGCCAGGGGCTGGGGAGAGGGAAGAGAAGGGAAGTTAGTGTTTAATGGGGACAGAGTTTCAGTTTGGGAAGATGAAAACGTTCTGGAAATGGATGGTGATGGTTGCAGAACAATGTGAATATACTTAATGCCACAGAACTAAACACTTAAAGAATGTTTAAAATGGTCAATTTTATGTTAGGTATATTTTACCACAATAAAAAAGACTGCTCTGCAAAAAGACAGTGTTAAGAGAATGTAAAGACAAGCTACAGACTGGGAATAAATATTTGTAAATCAGATATGCAACAAAGAACTGCGTTCCGAATATACAAAGGACTCTCAAAAGTCATCAGGAAGAAAATAAACAACCCAATTAAAAAGCAGCAAAAGATTTGAACAGACACTTCAGCAAACAGGATATAGGGATGACAAATAAGCATATGAAAAGATGTTCAACATCATTAGCCACTAAGGAAATGCAAATTAAAACTACAATGAGATACCACATCACAGCTAATAGAATCACTAAAATAAATGCCAACAATACCAAATGCTGACAAAGATGTAGAGCAACTGGAACTCTCATACATTGCTGGTGGGAATGCAAAATGATTCAGCCACTCTGGAAAATGATTTGGCAGTTTCTTATAAAATGAAACAAACACTTACCATCTGACCCAGTAATCCCACTCTTAGATATTTACCTTAGAGAAATAAAAATTTGATGTTCACACAAAAACCTGTACAAGAATGTTCATATCAGTATTATTCATAATCATCATACCCTGGAAACAGCCCAAATGCACTTCAATGGGAGAATGGATAAACAAATTTTGGAACATCCACACAACGAAACAAACACTACTAAGCAAAATGAATGGATGATTGATACACACGACTTGGATGAATCTCAAAGGCATTACATTAAATGAAAGAAGCCAATCTTAAAAGATTACATATTGTGTGATTACATTTGCATGACATTCTCTACAAGACAAAACTATACTGATGGAAAACAGATCAGTGATTGCCGGAGATTATGGGTGGAGGTGGGGGTGACTATCAATGGACGGTAGGAAATTTTAGGGGGATGGAGCTGTTTGCTGTCCCGATTGTGGTGGTGAGTACATGAATCTACATGATTTACATGATTGACAATTCACAGAATTGTACACCCCCCAAAAAATCAGGCAATTTTACTGTAAGTTCATTTTAAAAATAAAAGGAAATATTAGCTATATCATTATCATCATCATTAATAGTTATACTTTACTGATTAATAGAAATATCCAGAATTAGTTGTGAAATAGGATCTAAAAATCATTAAGGTTGTTTTATGTCTGGTACAATAACTTAAAAGTATAGAGAAAAAAATCAATAACACTAAATGTAAAAGCTTTACAACTTCTACTAGCTCCTCTCTTTAATAGTCTATATCAGGATAATATTCTCCCTCTGGATCATTTCCTATAAACATTGTCATATACTGGATATGGAATTAAATAAGCACTCAACTTAGAAGTCTGGGACCCTCGGTCACATTCCTAAATCTAACACTGTAAGAAAACTCTCGACTTGCCTTTTGTGCCTAATTTTATCTTCCTCTTCATTGAGGTCATGTACTTGTCTGCACTTGTCTTTTTGTGGTATGCTGTGAAGGTTTAAAGCAAGGAGTTTCAAAGATAGGAAACAGAACAGATTCACACACCACCCGCCCCCCCACCCCAAATACCAGGCACTGCTCTAAGTGACTCACATGTATTACCTCACTTATTCCTCCTAAGGATCCTGCCACACAGCTACTAGTAGTAGTCTCGCTTTACAAAGAGACGAGACTGAAGCATCGAGGGGTAACTTGCCCCAAATTGGATAGTTAGTAAGTGGGGAACCAGGATTCTCCCAGCAGTCTGCCCCCAGAACCTATGTTCTTAATCAGCATGTTGTAACGTCTCCGCACCAAAGGCTATTCATTAGTCCTCTGCCTTCCTTCACCATTGCTCTTCCATGTGTATGGTCTCACTGTGTCTAACAAATCATTTGTTCATTCATTCTCATGGCTTCATCGCTCAGCTCAGCACAGGTGATTCCCAAATCTGTACAGATCATGTGCTGACCTCTCCCCTGAGCTTCACTGCTACATTTCTAACTGCTTCTTCAATATCTGCATTTCATGATCCTGCCATTCTCACAAACTCAGACTCATCACCTTTCCTCAAAATGTCCCCATAAAAGCATTCTTCATTTTGCCAGTTGTTAAGTTACACAGCCTTGAAACACCTGGATTACCTTTGACACACTCCTCTCCACTGACCCTCCTCCCTCAAGCTCAGTCAACAAGTCTTCCCAACTCTTCCTTTGTACTGTCTCATAACCATACCTACCTCTCTTTCCAAATCCACCGCCATTGTTCTAGTCCAGATCTTCATGCCTAAATGACTGTAATACCGCCTAAATATTGTCCCTGCTTCCAGTTCTTCCTTTCTCATCCTATTGCTTGGTCACCATCTTAATCATGTTCAAATATTGCTTTCATCCTGTTACTCCTGGCTCAGAAACGTTTAATCACAGCCAAAGTAACTAACTCTGTATACCCGTCAAAGAAAGGTAAAACATTTTAGCTACCTTGTCTGTCACAACACCCCCAAACACACCATATTACTCACACCGTCTGCTGCAACTGAAATGCCTTTCCCTCTCCTGCCTAAAGAATAGGTAGTATTAAAAAAGCATTTAAATCTTACCTCCTCTGAGAGGCCTGCTTCAGCCATGCCAATACACAATGGCTTGTCCCTCCTCTGAACTCCTACAGCACTTAATAACTGTACGTAGCATTGTTACTAAATGTCATATGTTTCTCTCTCCAACCAGACTGTAATTGGCGCAAAGTCAGGAATCATTTCTTAAACTTCTGTGCACTTTCCCAAGTGCCTAGCAAAACTTATCTGTTAGACTCATTCTTTCTAGTTAACACACAGACCATTTATCAATATATTTTGTGCTAATATAGAGTTCAGCTTAAAGGCCTTTTACAATCAAGCCTCACCCACCTTTCCAGTGTCATCTCCTGTCATGCCTTGCCATGTCCTATGCTGCCACCACCACAATGAACTTTTCATTGTTCCCTAGACACACCAGGCCCTTTCACAATCCTATTCCTATTCACCTATTATCGGTAATGCCCTCTCCCCCTTAATTACCTGACAAATGTCCGTTGATCCATCAAGACTCAGTACAAATGTCAACTCCTGCCTCCCCCAACTAGACTTAAGTGCTCTGTTTTCTGTGCTCTCTCAGCATGTTATTCGCATCTCCATAATAATCATTTCCATGCTGAACTGCAACTAACTCCGAACATATCTTTCTCTCTCATAGCATGATACAGTCCTCAAAAGTAGTGACAGTTCGATAGTTCCTCTTTCCTCTATTCCCTTCACTAACTCTTCATATTTAGTGCCCTGATGTTAAATTTCTCTCTCAGTGAAAGAGCATATCAAAATCAGTGGCGATCACATACCTTGGTAATAAAGAGCCTTAAGGAAGGAGTGACGATCAGCTCCCTGAAATAAAGAGTTTTCTATTTCCATTTCTCGCCGGGTCAGCTGTTTGCTCTTTGCAAATCTCTGTGGCAGGCAAAGGATGCGCTGACGCTCTGAGATCCTTTTTTCAATATCTTGAAGACGATTCTGTATTGCTTCAGGGGTTGCCCTCAGTCTTGTCCTCTGAAACCAGAGAAATGAGATGGCATGTATCATAGGGCACACACCCTGAAAGTGATAGTCTGATGCCTCAAGTAAGAAAGAAGATAATCAGGGCCCAGAAATGAGCGTTTATACACGTAAGCGATAGCTTCTTTTTAACCAAGGTCTCTATCCTAGAAACCAAAGAAAATTCAGACGCAAAGCTCAATCTTGTGAGAACTAAAAATTAAAAGTTTCTCTACCAGAAGAAGAGATCTCGCTCTTTACTTCCCAGAAAAAAATTGCCCCACTCACCTTTTCACCTGAAACATGGCTCTTCCAGATCAAGATTTCTGTTTCATTGAGCCCTAGTTCCCTGAGAGAAGCAGTTTCCTGGTCCTTCTCATGCAGTATCTGGAACTGGGACAAAGTCATAGTCCCGGCTGCTTCCTTCCCAAAGGGCTTGTACATAGTACCAGGAGCAAAGCTTTCTTTCTTAGACACACATCTGCAAAGCACGCAGGAAGAGAGTCAGAACATCTTCAAGCTACCACAACTCAGAGAAATGGGGCTTACCATTAAAAAGAGGCACAACAAAACTCCTCAGCAATTTTTCTCTCATGTCCTATTTCTAGGCTGAAGCATCACTGCAACAATATGGAACTCCACCAACAGTTCCAGCATCCAGGACTAAGAAATGACTGAACCAAGTATTTATTGATTGAGTACCTCCTGTGCATCAGTCAGTGTGCTAGGTATTGAGGCTCTAACAGTAAAAAAGATGAAAATGGTTTCTGCTTGTGTGGCAGAACAGTGGAAGGAGAGGCAAACAGGGGTCTATCACCTGGAGGTAAGGGCCTGTGATACTCTACCTCTTGGCAAAATCAATACCTACTCCTCAATGGAGACAGCGGTATCAAGTTGATGCTGAAGGAGGCTTTTCAGCTGCCGCTCCCCTTCCGTTTCCAATTCCTCCAACACATGCTCATCACTCTTCACACAGCTGTTTACCCTGCAGTAGATATGGAAGAATTGACTCTGGGTGGTGAAAACATAATGCAATATATAGATGATGTATTATAGAACTGTTCACTTGAAACCAATAGAGTTTTGTTGACCATTGTCACCCCAAAACATTTTAATTAAAAAAAAGAAAAAAAGTATATATACAGGAAGTAGAAGAAACCGTGAAATCTCCAAATATATTCTTTATCTGTATTATCTACCAATAGTGACCCCATTTGTTCAAAGACGCTTCTTGAACAATTTGTTGCCCTTTATCATTCATTCCTCAGACATTTATTAAATACCTACTTACACACAATACACTGTGTAAGGTACTGCCTGAGTCAAATATATTCAAGACATAGTCCCTATCCTTAAAAAGCTGTCAATTTACTTAGGGAGAGGGAATATATATGTGTACATGTGTTATGTGTGTGTGCCTCACAGGGAGGTGGGTGGGAGAGAGGGCAGGGAAGGGGAGGGGAGGGGAGGGGAGAATGACACATTGAAGCATACGAAGTCTGGCAATTAAGTTCGCAAACTTGGTGCAACGATGTTGCTAACCTTTTTTGATATCAGAGGGACTATTCATTATGAATTTGTACCAACTGGACAGTTAAACCAAGTTTACTATTTGAAAAGGCTGCGTGAAAAAGTTAGAGGATCTGAACTTTTCACCAATTCATGGCTCTTGCATCACAACAATGTACCAGCTCACACGGCACTGCCTGTGAGGGAGTTTTTAGCAAGTAAACTAATAACTGTATTGGAACACCCTCTCTACTCACCTGATCTGGCCCCCAGTGACTTCTTTCTTTACCCAAAGATAAAGGAAATATCAAAAGGAAGACATTTTGATGACATTCAGGACATCAAGGGTAATACGACAACAGCTCTGATGGCCATTCCAGAAAGGGTTTCAAAATTGCTTTGAAGGGTGGACTAGGCACTGGCATCGGTGCAAAGCTTCCCAAGAAGAGTACTTCGAAGGTGACCACAGTGATATTCAGCAATGAGGTATGTAGTACTTTCACTAGGATGAGTTCGTGAACTTAATTGTCTGACCGCGTATGCCAAATCAGCAGGAGCTTACAGAAGAGAGAGATATCTGGGAGCTAGGCGGTAAATGAAGACGACTTCGGAAAGGTAATACTTCAGCTGGCATTTGAAGGACTGGGTGTGATGAAGGAAAGAACGGGAGAGCAAGTATAAAGAAGAAGTTTTGGGGGATAATGAGAAATACGATGTAGCTGGCATTCATGTATGAGAGGACTGGGAGATAATCTTGGAGGGGTAATTAGGCTCAGATTGTGAATGGCCTTGAATATATCAACTAAGAAGCTTGGACCTTAATATATTGGTATTAGAATGTAATTTATTAGGCAGTTAAGTGACACAGTACAAGTGATGGTTTAGGAAAAGAATGGTTATAACACGGCTTACGGATTAGTAGGAAGGAAGCCGGAAGAACTAGGTGGAAAACTATTCAAATTTATCAAGCATAAGGTGATAAGGTAGGGGTAAGGGAGAAGTCAAAGATAACCCCCAAATTCAAGCTATAAAACTAAGAGAACAAGGGTACCAACAAAGGAAAGAGGAAGCTCCAAATGAAAATGAAATAAATGGTTTGGGAAAGAGAAAGGCAGTATTGTTTTAGTCATGCTGGGTCCACTACCTATTGCAACTGAAAACACCAGCATGAAGTACCAGGAATACTTCAAAGACTTATTAATTCGGAGGTGACAGTATATGTGATATTGGCTAAAAGGAAAGTGAGAGATGGGAGAATTGCTGCATAGATAAGAGTCTCAGGCTGAACGTGGAACTCTCAAGTCGTCTGTATTGTCAGGATCTGCAGCTGTGAAACAGGAGATCTCCAAAGGAGAGGGCAAAGAAACAAATGTGAAAAGGGTCATAGCATTTTATAGCTTAGGCACTACTATGTAGAAATCAAGGTAATGCTAATAACATGAGCTAACTAACCCTAAATATTAACTGAAAACTCTTATTAGAGTTTAAAGAAGTAGCAGGGCCATTTAAGTAGGCAACAACAGATTATAAAAGACAAGAACAAAAACAAAAATGAGCTAACTCCACGAGGAAAATATATATTAAAATGATTGTCTTATAAAATAGCCCTTTACTATTGGGGCCCAGGAAAAGTTTCCTCCGTGATTATAAGAAAGATTCTCATTCTCTAGAAAGACTAAGGCCTATTTGGCGAAAAATGTAAGTATCTTTAGGCCTAGGGTTTAAAAATATCCTTTTAAGTATCTCAGTTTTTATTATTTAGAATTCTGAAAGTTCTTGCTAAGTTTAAAGCGGCTTTGAAATGAATAAACCATAGCTATAGCTAAATACATCAGTATACATGAATCTCAAAAAGAAATGTTGAGTGAAAAAAAGCAAGTCCCAGAAAAATTCATATGTGTCCATTTATATAAAGTTGAAAAATGGATAAAACAAGCAAATTTTGTTGAGGAATAAATTCCTAAGCGGTAAATTGATTTTTTTTAAAAAAAGGAAGGGAATTATTAGCACAAATTCTGGATAGTGGTCTCCTCAGGGGGAAGGGAGGGAGGAGAAGCAATGAAGAAGCACACTGGGTACTTCTAAGGTACTGGTAATGTTCCGATTTTAAAGCTTGTAATGGGTACACGTCTATTATTCTTTAAACTGCACACACACACACACACACACATATATATATAATTTTTCATGTATGAAATATTTCATAAAAAACATTTTTAAGTCATTTTGAGGCAGAGAAAATCAGAAACATTTTTTACAAAGTAACAATCTTAACCATCTTATTTTATTTATTTATTTATTTTAGCTGAGCCATCCTGCCACCTGTTGGCGGCTCAGCTCTGGCCAGGAATCGAACCTGCAACCCTGTTGCTCAGAGCTCGCACTATTGAGCGAGCTCTTAACCAACTGAGCCACTCCTCCGGCCCCCAGAAACAGTTTTTAAAAGATGCAGAAACTGACAGTGGAAGAGAGCACAGTGTCAGTAAGAATTTTAAATACACCGCCCTATTCCAGAGAGGTCATTCTACTTGCAGAGTAAGTACAAAACTACTTTAATGAGGATCCTTTAAAAAGGCTTTGTGTGCTATCAGTTGGGAAGCTCGCTTTCAACCATGACCCAAGTGAAAGCTGCCATTTCCTGCAGAACCAGTAGGGGGACCTGCTCACAGCAATGCCATTCTTTTCCTGTAATAACATCGAATAGGTTTTGTACTTGCCTTCTAAATTTGTAGAAACAAAGCACACTTGCTTACTTTAAGATTTGAAAGCGCTACACGCTCTTGTCCAGGGACAAGTCTCCTTTAATACAAAAACACTGCAAACAAAGGTGCCCATCCACAGCCCCTTTCTGAGCACAGGGTGGAGATGAGGGGGATAGGGCGGAGCTGGCCTTGCTTTCTCCGGCGCTGGCATCTGTAGGCCAAGACCCTTTTACCTGGGCGGGTCCGTCTGAAACAGGAAGAAGCCACAGCATCTGTCCAGGTCCTAGGGCCCGCGCCGTGGCCTAGATGCCTGGGCTGGAAGGGCATTCCTACGGGAACCGGCAGCGGCGGCTGCCCTTCCTGAACTTCGCCTTGTAGGCCTGTTTAGCCCGTCTCCCTCCTCCCTCCTCCCTCCTCCTTTGTCTTCCCGCTCCCAACGAAACCGCATCCCGACAACGCGACATACCCCAAACACAAAGTAATAAAAGCCATTTTAAAAGTTAAATGACAGAACAGACCTCCCTTCGCCGCCTGTTCTCAGACAAGCCCTTACCTCTTCATGTTTCCACAGGCCCCTATCCCTAACTTGGGTAAATAGGCCGTGGACTTCAACTCCCAGAACTCTGCGCGGTTGACTCTAAGGGGATTGTGGTGGAGCGCGTGGCTCTGGGAATTGTAGTAGCGCAGAACTAAAGAAACTGAAAGAGAAAGTATGTATTCAGTAACTGGTATGTTGTAAATTGTTCAAGTATTTCTCTCGAATTTCTTATAGAGGTTAAAGGCAACACCCAAAATATCCAGCTCATAAACCTAGGAGTCACCTTTGACTTCTTGACTCATCCGGTATCACCAAATCCTGGCGCCTCCAATTTCCTTCAGTTCTGTCCCCATTAACCCTGCTTCTGCTTTCAAAGACTTACTAACCGTCCAGTTGTTTCAAGTGGAGCCTCTGGTCCATCCTCTGCAGTGTATCCAGAATGATCGGACACAAATTTGACGGAGTCACTTACAACAATGTTTCTCCTCTATCTGTAACAGCGGCTTATGTACAAGGCATTGATTTCGTAAGAATCAGAAAGCCATACGTATTCAGCCCTGTAAACGTTTTACTGATTGATAATTGTGGTGAATCAAGAGAGAGGTACAGCATAGCGATGAAGAGCATGGGTTCTTAGTTCTCAGAAATAGAAATACAAATGTTCTTAAGTATATGAAAAGAAAGATGTTTAATCTCATAAGTGATATGGAAATCTCAAAGTACATTGACTATAAAACACCCAACCTATACTCCTCAAAATAGTCAAGGTCATCAAAAGCATGGAAAGTCTGAGTATCTGTCACAGCCAAAATAATTGAAAGAGACATGGTGATGACAAAATGTAATGTGGTATCCTAGATGGGATACTGAAACAGAAAAGGGACCCTAGGTTAAAAAAAATAAGAAAATATGAATAAACTATGCACTTTAGTTCATAATAAGGTTGATTAGCTGTGACAAAATACCAGAGATATGTTAAGATGTTAACACTAAGGGAACTGAGTGGAGGCATATTGAATTCCATACTATGCAACTTTTCTGTAAATTTAAAACTGTTCTTAAAAAAAAAAAAGTTTGTTTGTAAAGCACACGAAAATAACATTTTTCAACTACCAGATTGGTAAAGATCCACAAGTTTGAGAACATACTTGTTTTGTTGAGATTGTGAGGAAATAAGCACTCTCAGTACATCGCTGGTAGGAACATAAATTGGTACCTCTGTGGAAGGCAGCCTGAGGATACATTTGAAATCATAAATGCACATTCTCTTTAGCACAGCAATTTGATGTGTATGAATGGTATCCTCAATACTATGCATCCTCAAGTATGTACATGTATATACATCCACTGCAGCACTGTTTATAACGAAATGCTACAAATAAGTATCCATGAACGTGATACATCCATTCAATGGAAAACTATATAGCAGTCCCAGAGATGACAAAGTTCTCTATGGAGTGCTACTGAACAATCTCTAAAATGTATTTAGTTCAATAGCAAGGTACAGAACAATGTATATAGCATGCTTCCATTTGAGTACAAGCGGGAGACATGTATGTATTTGCTTATATATGTGTAAAATACCTCTGGAAAAACATACATACAAGTGGTAAGTGAATGCCTCCAGGTAGGGGAACTGGATGGTGAGGAACAAGGGTGGGAAAAACTCTTCATTGTATATCTTTTTGTACTCTTTGTATTTCGAACTACATGATTATATTACCTAGTGAATCATTTTTTTAATGAAAGAGAATCCTTTTTATATCACAAAAAGCCAAATAATAAAAATATCATGGGTTTGGGTATCGCAGTGTTTGGATTTCTCAGTTCCCAGTTATTGACAATACAGCATTAAAGATAATCTGGACTTGAACTTTTGCTTTGCCAAGTTACATGACTCTGTGAGATTCAATAAGTTTTTTTCACTGGACTACGCCAGTTTCCTCATGTGCAAAATGAGAATAATACCACAGAATAGGGTCACTGTAAAGTACTATACAAAAGTATGGTTTTAAAGTCACTTGATAGGATGGTCATCTATGAGCAAATATTCCAAGGTTATCCAGTAGGTTCAGACTTATTCAAACTGGCTGTATTGCTATGCACAAGTTAGAGGATAAAACCAAAGAGCAGCTAATGGAAGACCTTGCACTTCTTATCCTGACAACTTCTAACAGATTGAACATCTCATGGAAAGTACCAGTGTGGGTCATATCATAGGCTGCACCAGTTAAATCATATACAGTGGTGGGGCTGACTTCTGCCGCTCAACCAAAATGTCCAATTGACACACCGATCAATAGGGAAATGGAAAAAATACACCAAAATTGCTCGTGTGTTTGTCCCCTGGGAAGGTGGCAAAGGGTGAAACAAAACTACACTGTCCATGGGCCGGCCGAGTGGCGCGATGGTTAAGAACTCGCTTGGGATACCAGAGGGCCCCGGTTCGGATCCCACATATGAGGGCCAGTGACACTGCCCTCCACAGCTAAGATGCTGAACGACAGCTCAACCTGGAGCTGGGCTGCCATGAGTCGCCAGAGACTGCGTAGGCTGCACTCCCTGTGGCAGTGGCTTGCCATGGGCTACCGTATGTAGCCAGCAGCCAGCGTGAGCGGCCAGCAGCCGCAGTGAGCGGCCGTCCAGAAGCCGGTGACTGATATGCCTCGCCAGAGAAGAGCGCAATGATGGTGCCAACTTGGGCCAGTGAAGCAACATCCTCCACAACTAGATTGAACAACAAAACGACAGCAACTTGTCTGTTCCCCTTCCCCCAATTCCCCAGCACTGTTCCCATCCCCCCAATTCCCCAATAAAAATCTTTAAAAAAAAAAAACTACACTGTCCATCACACCAGACTTGTATACAACTTATAATGAAACATACAGCCTATTGGTACTAAAGTGGTACACACTACATTAGAAACCCACTAGATGGGATGAGTGGGGAATGAATAGCTAAAAAGATATACTCACATAGGCTGAAAACTGCAACTAGAAAAGCAAGGTCATAAGGAAGTACTGCTCTATATACCTGTGCATGACTGTAGCCAGCCCAAATGGTAGGTACCATGGGAAAAAACATTCAGAAAATTCCATTAGAAGGAAAACCTGGCTATTTCTAGCTCGGTCAAACTTATTAACTGTGGAATAATAGCTATTCCGTTTCCCACGGCATCCATCTCCCCACTTTAAAAGGATGTCAGACAGTACATAAAAAGCTTTGAGATTTCTAGATGTTATTCATGAGCACAGAGATATTACCATGAGGTAATTTCACAATTTTGCCCCTAGAATAATTTATGACAAACTGAAAAATATGCCTCATTTGTCTCTCTGACAATTTAACAAGGTTAGTTTAATTAAGCCAGAAGCTCCTTCTTAACATAGATATATTTTCAGGGTTTGTCCTTTTTAGGCAGTTTGTTCACAGCACACTTCTGATGAATACATTATGAAGCAATTATAATTTCCAGATATGCAAGAAGATGTTAAAGCCAAAAATCTTCTCTTGAGAAGGGAGATCATCACTCGTCTAATATGAAGTATAAACAACTGTGCACATCTTTCATGTTCCCCAAATGAAATAGCATAGATGTTGTTACAGAAAATAAATATAGCATATTTTTCAAAAGACAAAAATGAGATGAGTAGATAAGCACTGGGAAAATGTCAATACGACAAATTTAAGAATTCTCCTTCAGCTAATATGTTAGCTGGTCTTTAACAATGGTTAGGAGGGGCTCAAGGTTCCAGTACCTAATACAAATCTTGCCTTAAAATTACCTGTAAAAATAGGTTATTTCTCGTCTTTCACTTAAAATTTACTCAACAATGTCATGTTGAACCAGAGTCAGAAGGAACTTTAGAGATATACCAGTAAATTTTGTAGTGTTACTATTTTGATCTGGAAGCCACTCGCATCCACTGACCTCTTCTACATCCTGGAAAAAAAACAATAGGAGAAAAAAACCCAAACATTAGAACTCTCAGTGTCAAGTCAATAGGAATAACATAGCCTCTTTTTTCTTTATGATACTTAGGAACTTCACAGTAAGCACGCACTGGTAGTAAAGACAAAATAATCACAAAACTTCAACGAAATGAAAACTCATTTCTTTCAGTTGGGAAAACCTTAATACGGTCCAATTCTTTCATATAAACAAAAGCTGATGCCCAAATAAAACTGTCCAGTTAACTAGGCAAGGAAAATACTAAATCCAGCGTTTCCTCCAATACACTATATTATTTTAACTGAATGTAGAACTTATGCATAGAGTACTTTACAGCAGCTGGATCTCTAAAAACAATAGGGAAAATGTCTCTATCTAGTGTATAATAGTAATAATACTAGACTCAAAAATAAAGATTATTCAAGATTTTACCCAAAAGGTGTTTACGTACAAAAATCATAAACAAAATTAAATGGTCTATGGATTATTTTTGTATTCTATAATTTTGAGTGGTAACAAAAAGTTACTTTATAAGAAGCTGCTACTTTGAGAAATTTGGGTAAGAAAAAAAGAGGCCATATTAAGTTCTGATATTTACAATAGTTTACTCATAAGGAGATGAAAATCACTAATACTAATTTCAAAAATATTTTCTTCCTTTAATATGTACCCCTCAGGATGGTCAGGTGTGGTCAGTACAATAGAAATTCACCTCAGTAATTCCAGGCAAATAAGCACTAGTCACTGAAAAACTTTCAAAGAGTTTATTTTGGAACATCACCTTTATTTATGACAGATGAAACACGAAACATAAGAGATTAAACTAAGAAGATAGCTTTTTCTTGAAA